AATAATAATAAATGAAATCTGGTTTGCTTTCCAATAGTAATCTGAGACTGCCTGAGACTACTGCTCTTTAAACACAGTCCCTCTCATTCCTAAGACTATTTCTTGCCTTTAAAAAACAAAACAAAACAAAACCAAAGCTAAACAAAACCCACCAAACCTAAAATGATAGGAAGTGTTCTGGCTTTAGATTTTCTCCTTAAAACACTCCGAAGAATTTTAGTAGAATTTGTACTCTACCCTTCCTTTGGTATGTTAATTTTAGCTTAAAAAAAACAAAACAACAAACTTCAAAAGTAAAAAGTGGAGATAAAATAAGTGATTACTTAACTTTTGGTAGGCTTTAATATACATGAAACGCAAGTAATATTAAAACAATTAATAGCATCCTTAAGAACAGCCAACCTTTCTCTCGTGCTCTATTAAAGACTTTCACTTCCTTCAGGTTTATTCCAAGGCCAGTCCTCATGGTCACAGCATCCGTGGCCTCATTCTTGTGGCCTCTTCTAATAGAGCCATTTGCATGTGCTCTGCCAAAAAAGTTGAAGATGTCTCATCAACAATCCTCAACTAATTCACACCAAACAAATGACTGAAGGGCAGCGGAGAGCTCACCTAACAGCTAAGAAGACGAAGAAACCTTTTCTCATGTATGACACTGATATGCTTTAGCTTTCAGTATCAGAAATGCCCTTTGGAAATTGCATAGCTTTCTGCGATCCAGTCTGTGACCTTGCTAAGGAATGGCTAATCCTACAAAGGTGAAGCACCTGGCACTGAAATAACATTTTGAGACTCAAATGCTTATGAAAAATAAATTACCTGTCAGACCAGTAGATGTAAGCTCCAAACACCGCGACTGAAAACATATCCACATTGCTCCCTGACAGCACAATCTCTCGATTCCCTCCACTCTCAAGGTCAATTCTTTCTATCTTGTCCGTACGAGCATCACACCAATATAATTTATTTTCCTAAAGATGAATTTTTAAAGGAAATATCAACAGTCTTGTGCAAGTATTTCATTAAGAGTTATTAAGATTACATCAAAGTGGAAGACCAGTTGGCTTTGATAAAACATAACAAATACTGTACATTTCAACATATAATGGAAGACAGAGGAACTAACCTCATAGTCGATGGAAATCCCATTAGGCCACGTAATCCCCAGGCTCACAAGTACAACCTTCTCAGACCCATCTAAGTGTGCCTTGCCTATGCAAGGAGTCTGTCCCCACTCAGTCCAAAATAAATACCTAAAATGTTATAGCAATTAAGAATTAAAATACCATCAAAATAAGAGTTGAAAAGGCGTAATACTGTACTTCAATTGCAAACCAAATGCACCATTACCATTAAATAGGTATTTAAAAAACACAATAAGGCTCATGTCTCTAATCTTAAGAGATTAAACATATCATAATACTTGTTTCAGAGAACACTTTGTTGAGAGATTTTTTTTTACAAATTATATATATGAAGTAATTATTAAAATTGCAATCAATCATCAGTTAATATGTAATTCTATTCCCTAAAGAATACAGCTTTGCACTTGGGAAAATAAAAACAAATTAGAAAAAAAAAATTACTGGAACAAGTTCTCGCATCTAATTACTAACAAATGTTGTGATAATACAAGAGAGGTATGTCTAACTTAAATATGTCTTAAATATGAAGCAGTGAGGAGCACTGTGGGAAATGGTAGAGCAAAGGGATTTTATTTGGGAAGAAAATGTTTTTACTATTCTCCTTAAAGCACATGGGAAGAATCTGCATCTTACTTATCTAATTTTCTATTGCTGTATACTTACTGGCACACTAACATCACTATTTCAGGGTAAGGTGCTAGGTCAAACTTCTGCCTTTACCTTCTCCTTCTCAATCTGTTGCTTTATGCATCACAAAATGAGACCAATGAATCTACAGATAGTACTTCCTTTACTGAACAGTAACCCATGGAATAGCTTTAAATATATGTCCATGTGTCTACAAACATATATATGAATGTATACATATTTGTGTTAAAATACGTTATGAACCCCCCAGACACAGAGAAATATATATACATACACTATGAGCAAGAAATCTGCTTCAAAGATAACATAATTGAGGTCTAGCATATTACTAATTGCCTTAAGAGAAGCATTTTCATAGCAAATATTCATAAGAACACACTAAATAATTGTTTAATAATATGCTGTACACAAAGTGAACAGAAGACACCAAACCATTCTCCATTGTTTTTCTCTGTGTGGAATGTATGCATTAGCCTGTTTATAAAGGTTACAGAAGTTTTCTGTGCATTACTAACCAGTTCCACCCATGAGTCTGAGTCTGGTGATATCATTATACCAATCTGTTGCTAAATAACTATGTTTGATTGTATGACTGCAGATACATGAAATAAAAAGGGATAAAAATGGGACAAGGGAGAACAAATATGGGTCCTATAATTAACTCATCAAATTGCTCTTTCCTTAGACCAGTTACTCTGAGGAAAAAACAAACAAACAAACACAAAAGAAACCTTAAAACTATAATTAGCAGGTTATATGACTCAAGAATCCTCCAAATAAAATCCTGAATATCTGCCAAAAAGGTAAGGCAAGTTACTTAATACTCACTTAGAGCATTAATGATTATAAACACATTGATCTATAAACTTACATAAACTACAAACTAGTATGGAAAAACCCAATGTTGCCATATCTTCCCAAAGAGGTCTGGGAAGTACCACCTAAAATACTTGTTTTCTGGACCTTTGTAAGTAGCAATATACTACTGACACATTTGCTGTATATACTGCAATATGCTAGAATAATCACAACTTCACTTATTTCAGAACTATCCCATATATAATTCACAGATCTGACATGGAGAAACAAGTGACAAAAATTTGAGACTGGCCTAAAATCTGCTTTCAAAAGAATTTCTGTGAAAAAAATAAATTAAAAGTTTAAAATTTTTCCCCCACCCCAAACCCTAAACACAATTGAAATTCCCAAAATGTTTTTGAAGCAGGTATCTTCAAATTGTAAGAATTATTTCAGTATGAGCTTATTTCAATCACAGTTCTCAGCTTGATCAGAAAACTATTATTTAATGGGGGGAGGAGGAGTCAAGTGTATGTTATATGAAGACACATACCTGATGAGGAGCAAAGACACTCCTTTATAGGACTACACGTTCTTATCTTAGTAATAATAAATACTGTTACCAACCAGCTGAATGCTGGCTGCTTCATATCTTGGCATAACTGGCAGATTCAACGAGATCTAATAACTGCTATTTTCCTCTCCATTCTTATAGCTGTCAACTCAAGGTTCAAGAGAAATGAAGAATGTGAAGTCAGGGCAAGGACAGGGAAGAATATCTTTGAAAGTTCTGCCTCATAAAGGGAAAGATATGACAATAAGACAGAGGGTAAAAAGGTCTTAATCTTCCCACAGAAAGGTATGCCTGTACTTCTCATGAAGAAACTTTGACTGGAGACATCTCAAGATATAATTTGTGGCATGGTATTAAAAAAAGAGAGATGAAGCTTACCTACCTTCACAGAAGGTACATTGTTCTACCAGAAATGTAAACCAATTGCTAATCTTGGTCCTCTGATCCTCCTATGTTTTCTTAAGCATTATATACCAATCCAAAAACTAACTATAAAACTCAATAAGATCAAAACACCTAAGGAATGTTCCACAACTGAATTAAGTTCCACATTTAGCACTTCTCCTCTTCATTGTTTTTGTTTCAAGTGCAATAATTCAAACTCCTACAAATTATACTTTAACTACACGTTATTAATAGCTGCTTTCTGATGGACTAGACTATTCTATTTTAAGACTGAAGAAGATCGTTCAGTGGCATCTCTAAATATCTGTTAACTTAAAAGTAGGAATTGTTTATTTCCAAAGAATCTTGTTAATATTGTTGGCTATTATTTAATCTGTTTATGTGCACACTTATCAACTGGATAAAATTAAACCATGAACTGATGAGTCAGAAAGCAGAATGTGAAAATATTGTAATTAAAATTAAAAAATCCACACGAGTAAAAAAGCAACTTTTCTATCAATATTGGTATTAAATATTGTCCTGTGAAGGGCTCTGCATTTACTCTTCCCTATAGCAATTGTTAAATGCTGGGTTAAATGCTACAATCCATCTTGCCTCTCCAAATACTGCAGAAGAGTTGATTTCACTTTCTACTGTTTATTCTAAAAAGTAATGGATTTTATTTATTTTACTATCTAAGGATTCTCCAGAAAACTGCATCTGCTGCACTTAGTCCTCATAGACTTAATGGGGGCTTTTCATATTTTTTGACATAAGGAAGAGATAAAAACCTGTATATGTGTACAGCAAATACATTATATACATTTTGAGGAAAATTACACTGTAAATTAACAATTGTTTTGAAAAAAAACTGGTCTACTCTTCTGGTCAGAAGAGTTTTATCAGGCTTCTGTGTACTTACTTTCAAAAGTTTTGGGTTTTTTTTGTTTGTTCGTTTGATTTGTTATTTTTTTTTTTTTCTAACAGAAGAGCACAGCTATTCTGGTACACTATTGTTTGTTCGTTTGATTTGTTATTTTTTTTTCTAACAGAATTGCACAGCTATTCTGGTACACTGAAGACAAAAATACGATAATTAATTTAGCCAGATCCTGACTAGGATCTGGAGAAGATCCTACTCTGAATAACAGCATTAATCCTAAAATGTTAGCAGATATATACATATATATAGCACCAGTGGTGCTATATGAACACAGCTGTAATGATATGTGGCAAAAGCTACTACATTATGCAGAAAATAAAACCAGTTACTGCCTTCATCTTCATTCTTAAATGCATTAAGTTGCAATGCTCTAGTCTGCAAAATATACAGATCACTATGTCTAAATTCTCATAGAAGAAATCATGGCAAAGATCCAAACGGCATTTTGCATCACTGGGATCAATCTGGCCTCAGTGAGAAGTCAGAATTCTTCATTACTATGGCTGCAAATTCCTCTGAGTACAGAGACTGCTTTGCTGAAAATAGAGAGATACTGATTTGATTGACTCTGGGGAAAATGAGCTACAGTGTAATCTCTGGCTTTGGGGACAGATAGTTTCTCAAATACTTCTTTAAGATTTTGATACCCACTGTTTAGTGCTTATTTTTTAGCAGCGTAAGTGTAGCAGTTAAATTCACTGAGTCTTACTTATATGCCTTTTCCTCAGAAAGTACATTTCATATTCCCGTGAAAAAAAGATGGGAATACTTTGCCGAATTTCCTGCTTCTGTTTTAGTTGTGGCTCTGCTAATAATAGTTTTGGAGCTGGAAGGGGACAGAACATTCTCTATTTTTGTTAATGCTGCAGTGTAGTCCCTACTCTCAACAAACAGTTGTATGAATACAGACATCATTTTTGACAACCCTTACTCTCTCATCCACATTTCATCTCACATTACGTTCTGCTACCCTGGGCAATCATCTTAGTTGTTGTAGTGGGATGTTATGTGATACTAGAATTTGTAACTACCAAGGATTATACTGTTCTATGACTTCATCGTGACATTGAGGTCTTCATTAGCTAATGTGATTTCCTTGGATTTGCTGGAAATTTAAGAAGATTTAAGCATACTTCCAAGCAACGTCTAAACTTCAGTTGAAATTGCTGTTTTAGAAAATTAAAACTGCTTTGCAAAGAAAGTACATTATGTCATGTATACGAGAGACCAATGAAAAAACTCAGCATACGATAAGAGAAACACTTCCTTGTGTTCAGTTACAGTACAACAGTTTCCAGTACAAACCTTTTGGATCTTATTAAATGCTTATCTATTAGAATGAATTTATTTATCTAAGAGTTTCAGTGCTAGCATGCAAGCTTTCAAAGAAATGCAAGTAGCCATGGTCATGTTACCCTTTTTCTGGATGTACCGCAATAGATCTTGGCTGGTCCAAACCCTGGGATATAATTACATATCGGAACGAGCCGTTGAGCCTGGCAACTTCAATTAAGTTGAAGCCATGATCCGTCCAATATATATTACCTAGGAAAAATACCGTGAAGTTACTGGAAAAACAAAAGACTACTTGAAAACTGTTTAAATCTTAAGTGTGTAAGTTAGGATGAAAAACTAACTGCTGCATTTTAACTTATATGTATCTTAGATTTGTAATTTCTACTCCTATTCAGCCTTCTGTTTTAAAGTATGAACTTGCATTCATGGTTGTTACCATTGAGACTGCCCACCTAAGAAACAGTGTTCAAGATATTTAAATAATTTTTCTGTCTGTAGTAAAACAGAAAAAAAACCCAAGCCAGTGTTGGTATCTTCAAAGAAAAATAACTAGACGTTTGGGATACTAAAAATTAGAGCTGAAAGCAAATCAAGTTATTTAGTCTTGAGCTGAAGATGCACAACTGTACTGTCAGAAATCATAATTCCTGAAGCAAGCCAAGACCTACCTGCTATCCAGTCCACTGCAATGCCTTCAACTCTTCCCAAACCATTTGTAACAATGTCTTCTTTCCATGTTTGGTCTCGTTTAGACCTGCTTATTTTGTTGAAGCCCATATCTGTCCAATAGATTGTATCATTTCCTAGAAAATGCACAATGATTCTTGGGTTAATTCAGTTACTTCAGTCCAAGTATCTACATGAGTAACTGTACAAACTGACAATAACAACATCTCAGAGTAAACAAGAATGATATCAAAACCATCATCTGTAATTCCTCATTCTTTTTCCCTTTTTTTTTTTTTTAAAAAAGACTTTATTTAAAATAATTAAATCAGAATTGTAGGTTTTCTAGTCGTTGTTTAGTACTGCACGTATAACACAATAGGGCCATGAAAACAGATGGAAGTTACTACCCCTGTTAAAAAAAATCACATGTATGTTATTACTTTTTTTTTCTAATGGGATAAATGTTTGAAAAACTTATTATTTTATTTATTAATAACCATTTCAAAATATTTAGGAGTCTCAAAAACTACAATGTAAAATAGCCTGTACAGTCTTTTCAGTCAGTACTCAAGATTGAATTTTGGCAGTATATAAACAAAAATAACTTGGAAAAAAAAAAGTGTGATATTAGATACTTTTACCAGTATCTAAAAATTTTAGATACTGGTAAATGAATAAAAATTTGACTCTATTCACAATTTTTCTTTTATTTTAAATGTCCTGACAATCTTTCACTAAGAGTCTCTTTTGGTGTTTTAAGGCATTTCAGCTGTCTTCCCTGCTGTTCTCCTGCAGTTGCCTGTCCATAAGGTGGAAAAGAGGGGTCAATATGTAGTCTTAGACCACAAACCTATTTTCACTGACCATTTAAATAAACTCATTAGCCAGGCTCAGAATTTGGAGTGGCCAAAGCACAGACATGCTATCTTCTCTGTTGCCACAGTATACCCTTGATAAAGGGATGGGGTAAACAAAGTGATGACACCCCTCAAGCAGAATTCTCTGAATTTCCATTCACAGAGCTGAGTTAATAACACGGTCATGCTGCAACCCACGTTCTGGTTTCAAAGTCATCAGCTGAGGGGCTCCCGAGTGAGCTATCTTGTCTGGGAAAGACATGGCTCAGAGACAAATAATATTTGTTCATCTGTATTTTTATCATACTTTATATATCCGCTTTTAATTCTGTAAGAGCGAGTTAGATATAAGCATATGCTTACATGCATATATATATACACACGTATATATGTGTGTGTGTATATATAGATTAAAAGATTTTTTTAATCTATATATACACATAAAAGAAAAGAAAAAAAACAACCCAAAATTTACACAAATATCAGTCAATTCCAAGACCAAACCAGTCTGGTATGCTCAAGAACCCCAGCCACACCACCTCTCATCTTGACACATTATATTTGGAAGAAATGGCATACAATAAAACAAATGACAAATTGTGACTTCGAGTATCTCAAACATATAGTTTGATAATCACGTACTGGAGCCATGTACTTTGCTAGTTATTTCAAATGCTTACAAAAATTAGTCAGATATTAATACTAACTGCACATATATTCAACAATAAGTAACTGATCTATGAGTGTGTGCAGGTGGATGCCAAAGACCCTTCAGTGGAATTCAGATATGCAGAATTACTATGATGTCTTATCTGAAAGTATATAGATAACAACATTTTTTTTCTGTCTATGTTTACCAAATGATATTCTACAAGAGAAATTTATGTATTTCATATTCTACTTTAATTCCTCTGTATAAAAACACACCACTTTGTATTCATATTATGATCAGTTAAGTCAGCCACATGAGCAACAACCCACATACCAGCTAAGAAGCTCAGTTATAAGAACACAGAGATCTCTGTGGTTTCAATTCCATGAATAAATATTAATGTGGATAGCACAACTGACTTTGTAGTTCTGTTTTGCCACATAAAAGACTTAAGTGACTGTTTCTTAAAATAATATTTTTCAGTAATTTAAAAATGTAAACAACTGGATTACCAGGATTTGCTTCCAGATAATCATGTTAAAGATGAAAAACTTTTTTTAAAAATCATATTTCTCTTTAAAATATGTCTTTACACATAAAATCCATTAAAAGTCTATCTAAATTACACAGTTACTTCCTGTAAAATGCAATATTTTATGACACAGCTTTGTTTTGTTGAAGATCAACATTTTTCCTTAATACGCAGTATATCCGATCTGAGCACAAACAGGTAGAAAGAAACTATTGGTTATGTACGTGTATAAAAAAGGGGGGTAAGGACACGCAAAATCAGAGAGACATGTAGATGTAACTTCAGAGATATAAAAATACTTCCCAATAATAAAGGAAAACACATTTCCAAGACAAATATTACAGTGAGTACTATTTTAACATCAGTCAAATCGGATTTTTAATTAGCTGGTAGTGTTCCCGTAAAATGAACTGAATTTTTAAGCAAAATGAATCTGTTTCAAAATTATAGAAGTTGTTTTGGGTCTGGAACTGATAAGGGAATCTCAAATAGTATTTGCTGTGTTGGAGGAAGTTCACAAAGTACATGCAGTTCACTGCTTCTAGAAAGTATCCTTTAAAGTAAATGCTAATGGCTTAAGTATGCAAAGATAATAATTACCCAACCATACACTGATCTTAAACCTCAGCTAACACCGTTTCCTTAAAATTCTCATATTCTTTTACAGTCCTACGCCTTAATTGCTTACATTTTGTATCCTGAATTAAATCTTCATTAAAGATAGCTGTAAAATGCACAATGACATTTTGATATAATTGTTCAAAGACACTACAAGGCAAAAAAAACCCCAACAACTCAAAACACTATGTTTTTCTGAAGTGCTGATAAAGGTCATAGAATCACAGAATGGTTTGGATTGGAAGGGACCTTAAAGATCATCTAGTTCCAACCCCCCTGCCATCAGCAGGGACACCTTCCACTAGACCAGGTTGCTCAAAGCCTCATCCAGCCTGGCCTTCAACACTTCCAGGGAGGGGGCATCCACAACTTCCTTGGCCAACCTGTTCCAGTGTCTGACCACCCTCACAGTGAAAAACTTCTTCCCAATATCTAATCTAAACCTCCCCTCTTTCAGTTTAAACCCATTTCCCCTTGTTCTGTCATTAACTGCCCTTAGGAAAAGTCCTTCCCCAGCTTTCTTGTAGCCCCTTCAGGTATTGGAAGGCCGCTATAAGATCTCCCCGGAGCCTTCTCTTCTCCAGGCTGAACAGCCCAACTCTCTCAGCCTGTCTTCACAGGAGAGGCGCTCCAGCTCTCAATAAAGGTTATTTATTCACAGCAATGTAAAACTTGTTTTTCAGGTACTTCATGACAGCTTAAGAAAAAAAAAATAGTCTCGTGCTCTACAGTATGAAAATATCCATGGAATTAATTTTCATTAAACTAATAAAGATCCTTGTGGGTTTCAAACACAGATAATACTACAACATCTGCTGAACTTCAGTTTGCACTTGGATACAGATGGTATGACTCAAATGACAAACCCCTCTCATTTTATGGAGACAGCAATTTTTACGGGTTCCTTTCCCGTAAAATCTAATAATCAATAAAAGCTAATAATCAAAGGTCTCTATCTCAGTAAAATGTAACATTCTTAGTAGGACTCGACCCACTGAAGACCCATGCCGTGCAGAACAAACTAATAGGAATTCAGATTAAGCAATTGGCCTTTCTTTTGTTGTAGTCTGTTCACTTATAAAACTGGATGATGTTTTCATAGATCCATGTGTCAATGCTGTCTCTGTCGGGTAGCACTATTAATATTATAATTGCACAAACCTGTTTTATTTTCCCAATTACTCTGAGAGATAACAGAGAGAGATGAAAACTCTCTTCAGTATTTGGTTCCTGAAGTCAGTTCTGGCTTCAAACAGATGGAAAGAAGGCCTGTACTCAATTTGGAGCCTCCAGTATCTATTTATCTATTCTATTGCTGGAATCTGAAGAGAAGAGAATTACTACCTGGAAATGACAGCTGCCACAAATTGGGAAACAACTGTCTGCAACTTCATGCAGCTTTTACAAGCATTTTGCTAAGTGGTGAGCATTAGTAACCATGGCCTCACATTGACTCCTACAGTTCACAGGCAGCTTATCAGAAAACACTGAAAATAAATTCCATTAAATGCATTAGTATCTTGCCAATAAAATCCTGTAACTCAAAATTCAACTTACAAAGTGTTTGTTGAATACTACCCCTTTTCCTAGGCCTTGTCAGCTCAGTTGGTACATGTTCAAAATGCTTATTTGAACAAAAAGTAAAATCTATTCTCCTCCCACCTATACACACCCCGTTCATACACCACAGATACAAATGCCTGGAGGCACAATGATAGCACAAGTAAGAGAGGGACAGAAAACGGAGACGAAAGTGGGGGAAAAATTTGTGAGAGAATACCTCTGGGTTCCCAGCACCCACTAAGTTCAGCAAAACTCAGTGAGGGACTGGGAAGACTCTGCTTTTGACAGAGGCAAAGTCTTGCAAATCTTAAGATATTTCCTAGATGAACTAGGGGCTCAGCAATAACAGTGTATTTTTTCAAAACTATCAACAATTTTAACTATTACTCCACCTTTATGTAGGCTTTTCGGTACTAACAAAAATATTGATGTAGCTACTCTGTATCGTTGTACTTTAAAAAGATAGAAATGCTACTACTCATTAGCATTAGTTTGTGCCCTCCAAGTCAGTAGGAGTTAAGATAGTCTCTCCTGATGAACAGGATCACTTTCTTGGAGACATAGTTCTACCCATCAATTTGAAGACCATCATTCTGCAAATAAACATTATGTTCTCCTTTCTTCAATACTTAGAATGCCCTTGATGTCTCAAATACAGTAGTGTTTCTCTGCCAGGCAGATTCTCCTCCAACCAGATCAAACTTAAGTGCATAGCACCTCCCACCATATGAAATAATGATGTCAACAACTGCAAACCATATACTAAGGTAATAAGTGTGGTGAGCTTCCTGGAATAATGTCAAGAGGGAAAAACAATGGGCATTTGCCTGGCACACTGTGAAGAAGTCTTTGGCAGCAGGGAAGAATCAAAGCCATTATCTTTAACAATACAGAAATGAAAGGCTACCAGGCTCACACTCAGTGTTATACATCTATTTCTTAACACTGGCAACCCCACTCCCCAACATAATCTCAAAAAACTCCAAAGGTCAAAACTACTCTTGTAATTCCTTAATGGAATTTTAGAAGTATCAAGACATAGAGAGAAAAAAAAAAAAGGTGCATTTATCTGATAGCAATTTCATGTCTCCAAAAATATTGCTCTAAGTCTTTCAACTATGATATGCCATACTACTAGCATATGTTAATGTATTTGAGCCACTTCACATACCTAAAAATCACTGAGAGTAGACTCGAATTGAGGAATGTTTCATGATTAAGAATGAAACACAAGAAATAGTCACTAAGGGGAAAAAAACCAACCCAAGATGTAATCTGAAAGTACCTCCACTTGCCTTTGATTCATATTTGATGAACAAAGGCTTTTGGAATGACTTCAGAAAATTCAAGGTAATGCATCAAAATGAGAAAAACAATTGCTTTTTAAGCTGAAAAGCAGTTGAAAGCTGTACTGTAGCTTTTTATGACACAGCATCCTCTTGTGATTTCACTGCTACAGAAGATTTACATTCATGTTGAGCAATGCATTCATTACTGTCAATTGTATTCATGTTCCCTGTGCTGTAACTGATCACCACGCAAGTTGGCGAATCTCACTCAATTTCATCCTTCCTCAAATCTCATTTATCCAAACAGCTAAAAATTAGCTAAAAACATGCATCTTATTCTTCCAAAATATTAATTTGATATTGACTAGTGAAGTCCACACAAAGCTCTCTAAAGCAGGAGCTAGCATACCTTATAAGTAGATGATGCTAAAAAAAAAATAAGCTCCATAACAAAGAAAACACAAGATGCAAAATCACAATAAAATCCTAGTATCAGTATTTTAAAACAAAAAGGTCAAATTTCAGATTTCAGATTATTACACATAATATTGTAAAGCTTGCAAGACTTGAATTAAGAAATTATATTTTTTTAAGGTAAGTGTATTATAATAAAAAATATAATCCCAGGAAAACCCAATTGCATTGTCTTAGTACTCTCTATCAAGAACATGTGCAGCCACCGCTTCTCTATCATCCTTTATCCTTC